CATGCCTTCTTTAATCGCAAAAAATACGCCATGATGCCTTTGCCAAAATGAAGGATCGTAGTAACTGCATTTGTAGAGCATTGTCTCAGCTAAAACATATTAAAATTTGGAAGAAAATTGATCAATATTAACTGAGATACAATCAATTTTCCAAAAATATGATGACGACATATTATGCAAATTTAAATTTTGAGTTCGGAGGCCATTATGATGACGTCATGAGTTAATTGAGGGTCAAATGAGACATGAAATCATATCTCCAATTTATATTCTATTACAATATGAAAAAAGAATTAGGGTCACCTTACATCCTAAAGAGCTACAATGGATTTTGTGTAGGCATGTTTTTGTCCATATATGCTATGTATTACAAAATGGCGCCTAGATGACGTCATCAGTGAAGATCAATGTTGAAAACATTATTGTGCTTTGTACATATGCCTATACATGTGTGTGCCAAATTTGAAGGTATTTGATTGAGCCATTTTCAAGTAATCGTGCTTACAAAAAAGTGGTTAGATGTAAGAAAAGTAAATGAATAAAGGCAATTCTAACGAAATTATCAGGTGGTCTGTACAATATACAGCCCACCTGATAAAATTTGGAAGATACTAAAGTGTCTACCTTCCTCGCTCGCTGACAATATTTTGACAGCAAGGCAAATAAGGGCAACGAGAGGCCCGAATATCCTTATATTAGTGTATCAAGGTCATGACCGAATATATCACTTTTTATTTAATATGTACATTCGGCGGCAAGGTGCCCGCATACAGTACTTTAAATAGTTTCTAGTGTGTGGATTACAAACTATTTTTTTACCAGTTTGAAAATGTCTTTTTATTCTAAAATGTGCCCATACGTGTGTGCATAGTACTTGACGAAACCATGCAAAATTAATAGTCTGTAAATACTTTGGGATTTGGGAGAAACTTTTCATTTCTTAAGAGGGTACCGTGACTAACAAAAAGCTAAAATAACGCTGCTCCAGAGAAATGTATTTCTATGCATTTTGAAAAGCGCTGGACAATTACCTAAAACTTACATCCTTCGTGGAAATTAGCAACCGCGCTTGCGTTGCATAAATTATAATAAAAGGGAAATGTGTAGTAATGAGGAAGACAACGTGCTTTAGTATTTGAAAGAATATGGGGTCATGCAGGGGATCTTATGGGCTCGTAGCAATCTCTCAATGTGTCAGATCGTCTTTTGCTACTGAATCCTGATTGTCCACGGGGGTAGTTGTCATCGGGGGGTAATTGTCATCGGGGGGGTAGCTGTCATCGGGGGGTAATTGTCATCGGGGGGAGGGGAATTGTCCTCGGGGGGTAATTGTCCTAGGGGGTAATTGTCCTCGGGGGGTAATTGTCCTAGGGGTAATTGTCCTCGGGGGTTAGTTGTCCTCGGGGGGTAATTGTCCTAGGGGGTAATTGTCCTCGGGGGGTAATTGTCCTAGGGGGTAATTGTCCTCGGGGGTTAGTTGTCCTCGGGGGGTAATTGTCCTCGGGGGTGATTCTCCGGGGGGTAATTTTCCGGGGGGTAATTGTCCTTGGGGGGTAGTTGTCATCGGGGGTGATTCTTCGGGGGGTAATATTCCAGGGGGTAATTGTCCTTTGGGGGTAGTTTTCCGGGGGTAATTTTCCGGGGGGTGATTGCCCAGGGGGTAGTTGTCCTAGAACCTTGACTTTTAACTACTTCGGATGTTCACGAATTTCCGGGGGAAGGAGGGGTTGGAAAAAGATAAACAAACAAATGAGACAAAATGTAAAGTAAAGATAAATATAAAGAGAGACTATTTGAGTTGAGTCAAGTTGAGTTTATTCGTTTCACATTTCACATGCAGATTCAATACAGATAACAAAGTATACATTAAAGACATTTAAAGTCCTAAGGATCGAGTCCCGATCGAGAAGGCTGGGTAACATCGATCACACTGATTTCTTTTTAATACCAAGTTATTTTTCATGAGTGGCAATCCCTGAACAGTTTCAGTTCAATGCAGAAAAAAATCCGGGTCAACCCCGCTCTTACATGTTACATGATGTAGGCCCCGCGGAACGTTTTTCAAAGTGGGGAGGGGGGAGGGGGTCTAAAGTATTTCCGATCAGGTAGAGTAAGGCGAGCGAAGCGTAAATTGGCGTAAGGTCCAGTCGCAAAGCCCCGGCGGGGGTCAACGGGCGTAGCCCCGTGAAGTTCAGTGGCTTTAGGCAATTAATAACGGTCAGATAAGCATCCAGGTGATCGCCTTAGGGCTCCTTAAAGGGTTCAAGCTCAGGGGTTTTAGGCATTTAATTACGGTCGGATGAGCATATTTTGATACCCTATTTATGACACTGGCATGCACGTCACTAATATTAGTGGGGTAAACGAGGCGTAGACCCCAGAATCTAAGGGGTTTTAGGCATTAATTTATGATCAGATGAGCATCCAGGGGCTGCCTTAGGGCCCTTGGTGGGGTCCAGTGGGGGCCCCCGGAAGCTCAGGGTTTTTAGACATTTAATTACGGTCAAAGTAATACTCTTTCATATGTGACCTTATCATTGGCAATGACCTTGACGTACTCATCGTCATATTTTGATACCCTATTTCTGACACTGGCTTAGTGGCTTAGAGGCGACCATTGCGACAATCATACCCTCGCCGACATCAGGGAAACGCTACGTAATTATGAGATAGTGCACAAACCTCGTACTACCAGTTCTGGTGGAGGCATTTGCATTATCCATCTTTCCTCGGTAAAAGTGAGTCTTCAAAACTTTAGTAACTATGAGTCATTCGAAATGATGGACTTTACTGTTCGTTTTTACGGTGCATCAGTGTTTCACATTTATCATCTATAAATCTATCATCAAAGAGAAAACTAAGCTTTTCTTTGTTCTTGAAGGAATTTTACTCTTTAATGGAATTTGTCGCAGTTGTTGATATATCCCGATGCGTGTTCTTGACTTTAGGGACTTTTAGATTTGCATGGACTGATACGTGTGACGTCCATTCAAGGCAGTGCACTAAAAGGACGTCGATCGTAGCAATCCACGTTGTCGTTGTGCAAATCTAAAAGTCCCTGATAACATCCATGTAGACGACTGCAGTGTTGAATATGCTACCATCTTCCTCAATATCTTGGAAGAGGTAGGTTTTAAACAATACGCAGGCGCGTACGCAGGATTTTTGCAATGGGGGGGGTTTAACATTTTTAAATCGGGCCGAAAATTTCGCAACGACTCAGCCAGCCGAAATTTTGAAAATTTGACATTTTGTGCCGTTATGGGGGGGGGGTAAGGTCACCCCCCCCCCCCCCCCCCCCCTGCGTACGCGCCTGACAACACGTGATGACTTCAACATATCAGGCTGGACATACGCTCGACCTGTTGGTAACTAGAAGGTAGACGAAGTGGTTCCTGAGATTAATTCCATCAGGGGTCTTCCATCTGATCATGACTGTATAATTATGATGCACAATCAACAGGAACGTCCTGCCGCTACCAAGAAGCGTGTCATCTGTAGGAAGCTTCGTGATATCAATATGGAGCTATTCAAGTCAGATACTCTTCTTTCGAACCAGTGTCTAAAATTCAAGTTAGAAAAGGGATCAATGCCATGGCTTCTAAACATTGCAAGCTGGATCCTCTTCCAACATGGCTGGTCAAGTGTTGTATGGATGAACTGTTGCCTGTTATCACTTCCATCATAAACGGCTCGTTGTCTTCTGGGAGTTTTCATGGCAGCGCCAAGGTAACCCATGTCGTGTTCTTGCTGATGAAGCGTAGTTTGGATCCCATTGACCCAAGGAACTATAATAGACCTGTTTCTAACCTGATGTTCATCGAAAAAGTTCTTGAAAGAGTTGCTAGCTTCCAGTTAAAAGCACATCTAGAGAAGAATTGCTTGTTTCCCAAGATGCAGTCGGCCTATCGCTCGTTCTACTCAACGGAAACAACACTGTTGAAAGTAATGAACGATCTGTTATTGGCTGTCGACAGGGGTTATGAGGCAGTACTGGTTCTATTAGATTACAGTGCTGCTTTCGATACCATTGACCATGTGAATTTGATTGCCATCCTCGAACGTGACTACGGCATCAAGGATTTAGTGCGACAGTGGCTGGTCTCCTATATAAAAAAAAATTCGGAGACAGAAGGTCGTATTTAACGATGCTGTTTCCAAGTCTTTCCCTCTATCCCAGGGTATTCCTCATGGATCGGTCATTAGTCCTTTGGCGTTTGCACTGTACATTGGCCCTCTATCGCAAGTCATCAACGCCCATCAAGGAATCCTTCATACTGTACAGAAATGACACTCAGTTGTATGCTGTCATCAGACCTGAGGAACATGACGTTGGACTTCAAAAGCTACAGCAGTGTGTAGCAAATGTTAAGGAATGGTCACTACGGAGCAATCTTCAACTCAATGACTCTAAGGCTGAGGTCATCCATGTCTTCTCCAGGTTCAGAGGTGCTCGGAATCTCCCTGTATACTGCAGATTGGCGATGGAACGTCTATCGGCTTAAAAACATTTTGTATTAAGCGCTCTAGAAATAAAATGTATTATTATTATTTATACCCTTATCAAGTTTTTTAATTTTTTAAGTATATGAAAAAGTGATTTGTCCCAATTAATGTTTCTTGAGAATCTGACGTATTAAAATTTACCGTAAAGTATTCGAACAAATGCACTTATTCAGCCGGTCCACCTTTCATTCTTGACTTTATACCAAAAAAGAACGAAGAAACAGCAAATGTACAAATAATTTAGTTGTTAACTGCATGTATATATCGAAAATAATATCGCTAGTGATATTCGTTTGTCTCGCAATGTGGTCAATAAGGAATCTAAAAGATCACGACGTTTCGTATGCTACTGCGATACTTCGTCAGGTGATAAAAACTATTGTATGCAAGGGTCTTTTATACTTTACGGGAGGACCGGCGGAGCGGTCTATAATTCGATCGATAATTGGAATTGCATGTATATATATCGTCTTTTGTATCATTTATCTGTTTAGATGGCAGACGAAGGGAACCTTCCATACTATCTAAATCAACATAAATATAAAGGTATAATGTATCCAAACTATGCCCTGGATTCCAGTATCGAACGTCTGAAATCGTTTGAAGTTCGACCAGATGACATCTGGATTTTGACGTTTCCAAAAGCAGGTAAGGGCTAGAATGTCGAAACTGACTGCTTGAACATTAGTCTGGAATTAACCCCCGAACATTCCAAAGGAAACGAGTAGAATGTATAATACTCTATATAATTTTTATGAATACTACTTTGATAATGATAACGACACTAAAAATATAACAAAGATCATAATTATTATTATTAGTAGTAGTAGTAGTAGTAGTAGTATCAAAACAATAGACCAGTTCACGATTAGCACATTACTGTAATGACCCCGAATATCCACAGATCTTCAAAACATGAAGAGGTCCCACTTTGTACATTTTGAAATAATCACTCCTACAGCGATTTAGGTGCCAAAATAGCCTTTGTTTCCCCTTTTCAAAGAATACTTCTACCTGCGTATCATGGAGTGCACCGAATGTGCATGAATGAATGATTATTAAATAACTTTCATGAGCACGTATCTAGTGGTTTGTCTCCGTGTATTTCAAAATTTGTTCTGCAATGACCTTTATCTGCTCATGCTCAGACTGACCGTGAACTGGCTTATTATTGTATTATTATATATTTTAGAGCGCTCATTGTAACTAAGAGGTGGCGCTTTCTTGTTAAGGTAACATTAAAATAAAAATAAATGATTATCATACTATGTAAACATATTATCTGTCCTTCGAAAAGAACAGATAATAGAAATTAACGAACCTTGAACCTTTAATTGCAGGGACCCATTGGATGATGGAGATCGTGGGCCTTATTCTCAGCGATGGTGACCCAGACAAAATCGACCGATCTCTCTTCGCCCAGACTGTGGAGATGATCAACTTGGATCAGCGGTTTCCTGCAACCAAGGACGAAGAAAAGCAATATCCTGTAGACATGGCCCCGTTCTTGGACGTCATAGAGAAGGCGCCCTCACCGAGAGCCGTGCTGACGCATCTCCAGTTTGACCTTTTACCGCGTGACATACTAAAGGCTAAGGTCTGTCCCGTCAGATTTCCATTCTTGAAGTGAAAATTGACTTCATGTACATTTTTCTAGAACTTGATAATCGGGCTGACCTTAGGCTTTAGTCTTGTAGGAAGTCATATAGCTCCGTTTAGTCTCATTTTACAACGCCCCCTATCGTCAGAGTCAGCAGCCTAACATATGTTAGCCTGTGGAATTTTACCCAAAAAAAATCCTTACAAATTCATTTGTTTTGTTTAAACGAAATGCACATCCACTCCCGACGTACGTTATCACTAGCTCTTTCATTGGAACCCTCATGTCCCATTGACTTTTGAAAGTTCACCCACCGTAATTTGATCAAAATAGCGATTTTAAGATTATAGGTCAAGCACACGAAGGGTAAGAAGCATGAATTATCATAGATCACTTCTGCTTGGTTCATTATGTCCATTTCATCCAACCCCAACCGTCATTTTTCCATTTGGTAAAAGCAAACGTTTTGCCGAGGTAAGCAAAAACATGAATATTCATGAACGGTCAGACAATACAGCCTTTTAATACGTATATAGTGAAAGGGAATGGGCGAGGAGGTAGAGGGTCAGTGGTTTGTGCTGGCAATGTTCCAGCGAGCAAAAATGAGACAACCGGAGCAATATGTCCCTGAGTCACTTTAACAAGACCTTGTGGACCTTCTAAACTTACTTCTACTGCCCAGTACACACGGCGCGTTCTTTTGATTGCGTTATTACCTGTGCCAATCAGGCCTATCAAGGCAATCGAAATATATGCCATGAATTCAAAGGCATAATCAGTTTACATTCATTTTGTGTATGATGTCACTTCCACATAGTGCGTCAAAGATCGCGCAAAACGTTGACGCAGTTCTACCTCCGGCGTGCAATCGTAGGGAGCCCGTGCGGCGGCCGCGCAGCTCGTCCTACCTTCGTTCAAATTTTAAAGCCAAAAAAGGTCTTCGATCGAATGTTTTCAGATGCCCGAGCGATTTACGGGCGATCTGTTTACGAGCTCTGCGACCTCAAAATTCGCAATTGGAAAATCGCTAAACTGGGAGAAGGTTTCAGTGCCCTGCAAACGTCGAAAATGCTGTCGAAAATGCTTAGCTCGCAGAGAAGTTGGGCGGGCTCTGTTTAGGATAAGTGACGGCCCCTTTAGGACCGTGTTTAAAGATTCATAAATAACGTAAAGTACATGGATCATAATTTGAGTCAATAGCTAAAAGAAACATCTAAAGAAAATTTACAAAATATAATAAACAAGTTATTACCTTGAAAAGACACGAAATTATTGAACAGGTTAAGCTTTCATACTGCACCTCCCAAATAAAGTCAATTTTATTTGTACTTCGGTCCATGTTAATATAACTAAAAGACTACAAGAACATGTGATTTCGAAAATGAACAAATTTACACAAAGAAAACACGTTGTATCTTTTTTGAATCTCTATCCGCTCTATTTATTTAGTATGTATATGCATGTCATTGTTTTACGCTTTACTCTGTGTACATGAAATGTCGGGAATAAACGAGCTGGTTCCACTAAGATAACATGAGATAATATATTTATTCAATTGTTATCCGCTCTATTTCTGTACTCTGTATATATGCTTAAGTGTGAATGTAAAATGTTCAACTTCCTAGGTCATCTACCTGGCCCGAAATCCAAAGGATATCATTGTATCATGGTTCCAATTCGTCGGGAAGAGCCGAGCCCTTCCCTTGACCATGGACAGGACGATAGAAGATTTCATCACTGGCGGTAAGTCCCCCCCCCCCCCCCATACGCATTTAACTTAGCCAGGGAAGGGCTCCATTTTGTTAAGAATGTAAAGACACACCTTAGTTCAAGTGAAGGTCAACAAATAATTGGTGAGCTTTCGCATTCTTTGTTAGTTTAGAAGAACATCATAGGCGAAAATGTCCCCTAAAATTAATCGGTCTTCAAATGCCCTCACACTCGAAATATGATCGGAAAACTGAAAGATTTAGACCAATAACATCCTTGCCATAATTATGCGTGTGTGTAGTCTCATCTAACTCAACATTTGATATTATTGTTTGGATATTAATTCTCTGAACTACATTATTAAATATTAAAAGCATAAAGAAAGTAGGTAATTGTGGTTAGAAAAATGCATTATCGCATACGTCATTATGATTTGTGTTACTATTATTATTTTATAGTATACAAATAATACACATCAGTGAGGCCATTAATAAGAATTACCCACACGAGGTACCTTTGGAACAGTCTAACACGCCCGAGGCGATAGCCGAGGGCGTTTGGATTGTTTTGAAGGTACCAAGTGTGGGTAATTTTACTAATGCCCGAACAAAATGATGTGTATTATTTGTTTTATAAAATAATGTTTTATTTGTTTTATAAAATGATTTTTTTCTAACATGATTTTGATAATGACCGGTCATTACCATTGGATAATGACCGGTCATTACCCAAATTACGCGCGATTACGCGTAAGGCAAAATAAATGCCTAGTCACGTGTACGCTTTCAACCAATCATTAATGGATTCACGTCATCATCTTATAATTTCATATATCATTACGCTTTTTGTATTCCTTATAGTTCCCTTATAGGTTTCAAGTTAAATTAAACATACCAAAAATGAGAGTATCGCTGATGTTGACAAATAAAAAGAAGAAATGTTTCCTTCGTAACTGCAAGGTGATCTTTCCATCATTTATCGACGATCACGACGATGAAAAGACTTTATGAAGATATACTTCAGTTATACGTTCTTCTTTAGAAAGATGCTATCGCGTCAGGACGTATATTCTCTTTCTTTATCTGTTTATCAGAAATGCAGTGGGGTCCTTGGCCAGGACATGTTCGTTCGTTTTGGGAGCTTAAAGACCATGACAATGTCACGTTTGTTTTCTACGAGGATCTGAAGAAGGTAAATAATGGGTAATTATACATGTATATTGGCAAGTCTACCTGTATTTGGTCACTTGATATCACATACATTACCAGGTATTGAGGAGTTATGAACATGAATAGCTTATATAGCATTAATAGCAATAAAGAATCTTTGGTAAGCGTTTGCCTGAAGAAGAAAAAAAATCGTTATAATCGTGAAGAAGATAGAAGTGGGGGGAACAGAGAATGAAAATAAAACGGGAAAATATCTTTTTATTCTAATTTACGTTCGATGTTCTTCTTATATAGTTAATTTATGCATACACTGTATAGTTAGAGATGTGAAATGAATGAACTTGAATTTACCTAATGAAAGAGGGTGGAAGCAGAAATGAACTCTACCCTGGTATCTGGTAACACCGACGAGGTAGGCAGTATACCGACAAACGCTTACATTATCCCGAAAGGCCGTCTTTTTGGAGTCGATCTGGCGGTGTCACGGAGGTATAAATACGCTTGTTCTAAGAACCTTTTAAAAATCCGGCTAATATGAATGATTATTTTGACTAGGGATATAAATTTGAGAGACTGGGTGTATAAGTGATGACTAGACACATTGGCTTTAATTTGAACGAACCATCTCCCCAACGTCATTCTCAATCACTTTTTGTTCTTCGTGTCGTTTTTTTTTTTTTTGGCGTTGTTTTGTATTGTTTCGTTTGTTTGTTTGTTTGTTTTTTATATATTTTTGTTAATGTTGTTATTGTTGTGTTTTCTCATTCATAGGAACCAGCAAAGTACATTCAGAAAATCTCATCTGGTATTGGTCGCCCTCTATCGGAGGAAGTCTTACAGAAGGTTGTGAAGTTCAGCCATATTGACGCACAGAAAGCCACATTCAAGAAAATGGCGGAAAGCGGAAAAGGGAACTTTGTAAAAGCGGTCGGCGAGTTTTCTTTTCTAAACACAGGTAATTTCAGCATTTTGTTTGATAAGCAATGTCGCTGTACCAAGATTATACCCTTAAATAAATTTATAGTATGAAATAAAGGTAGGTCTATAATATGTCTGTTTCTCAATTTATTTTTAAACATTGCAATTCAGTTAAATTGTTAAAAATCACAAAATAAAATAACATATTAGTGCGGTTTAAGATAATTTAGTCTTATACCATGTATGTATACATTTTTTTTTTTTTTTTTTGGGGGGGGGGGGGAATTATTCACTCTCGTTTATAATAACAATTAATATGAAACCACATGCATTACACGTACACACGACCACACAGAGAAATGTATATAAATGTTGACACTCTTTATTATTCAAAATTTCATATGAACCGTCAATATAAAATATAATAAAATATATATCAAATTAAAGGAAAATTAATACCCTACCAACATCAGCTAAGATAATGATGAACTTTTACGCTTGAATGGGCACATTCATTTATCTGTTAGAAGGTCTGATCAAGACAATTGCAAAAATAGAGCAAGTAGCTATTCAAACGTCATTGAACATAGGCCTATTATGTATCTGTTAGATATTCTTGTTCATCGATGAAAACAAAGAGTTGGAAAATGATGATGATTGACGTCTGGATATCAACTATAGTCTCAGGACTACATGGTTTTGAACAGCATGGTCAAGATGCCTCTCCTTCGTGTTTCTTGTTAATGTTTTTCTTCTTCTTCTTCTTCTTCTCTCTCTCTCTCTCTCTGTCTATCTCTCTTATTGTTTTAATTTGGCTCTACAAGATGGAAATGGTCGTCAACATTTAAATGGTCGGATGCCCGATTTACTTGCCCATTAATTGTCAAATGATAGCTTATTCGTGCGTGAATGGTATGATCTAAAAAAAGGATTAATATAAGTTTATTTTCAAGAAGAACAAAATCAGTATATATTGGATATTATTTGAAATCTTAATTAGGAATATAGTGTCCACTTTCTATCTTTTTTTGCTGAGTGTATATATGAAGTTCGCATAATGCATTTTGTTTCCGCTATAGTGTGAACGATACTATTCCGATGGATAAGGGTGTGTGCGTATGTGTGTACTTACAGTGGGATGGCGGGTGGATGGGATAGCGTGTATATGGCGTATGGCGTATGGCGTGTCGGGGTAGATAACTTTGAATTTGATGAATATGCTAAATGTATGGCAAGATTGTTTTGGTAAAACAACCAAAAGCAACCCCCCAAAACGCAGGATTGGGGCTACAGAGAAAGCGTAAAACTTCGAATGACATTAGCCCTCGTAGAATTTTAAAAGTAAAGAAGAAATGAAGAGATTGACTTACAAAGAAGCGGAGTGAAAAAAAAAAGAAACGATGGTCTTCTGTTAAATCATTAATAATCACATTTGCGTTTATAAGATGTACGTTCGGTTAAAACATACCAGGCTAGTCATGCCGCCAAACAAACTCCACCCCGACTCCAAATCGATCGATTTGTGGTCGTAGGGAGTAATGTAATCTAAAAATTTGTTCGCTCTGTTACCATTATACAACAATTTTTTTTTTTTATAGCGCATATCACTGCCTTGTCGTCTCTATGCATTTAAGGAGAGAGATATAAAACAGATACAGAGTTGCTGTGAAAACCCGACTTTGACTTAGTGAAAATAATGTTTAAACAAGTTGTTTTAAGGAGAGTTTTGAACTTACAAAAGTAAACATGCAAACCTCAGTAGCCAGCTTTAATGGACTGAGGTGCAGAAACACAGTAGCACTAGGATTGCGCCTGTTTATTTTAACAGCACATTGATTAGATCTTCCACAGCACTGTACATATAACTTCCTAACTTTAAAAGTACGAATATACACCGACAACAATGGCCTGTACTTCTGCAGAAATATTCTTCCTCGAAACAAATTTGTCCATCGCCATATTCTGACCATATATCACACCTAGGTTTCTGGCTGTTGTACTATATACATGTACAATTTTGTATGAAACTGGATGGGAATCATCACTGAGATAAAGGTAGTGTGCTGTAGAGAAGGCTCTGGTTCTGCTCAACATCACAACATAGCAAAATATTGAAAGTTGAATCTGAGTTACTATAATAGAATACTGCTGCTTTGCCAATAATCTTCACCAATAATAATGTGACACTTAAGATTCCATTCCGGTGACCTAAGAGACCCTACTGGCAGGTTGCAAAGAATAGCTTGGCCAACACGAAGCCACGCATGGATAGGAAATATTGTCTCTTCAGTGACTCTCCTCACTAATAATGAGGCAATCAATTGCGTGAGGTATTACTACTTTTAATCATGCTGTAAGTCTTGTCCATGTAGTAGAACTTTGGTCAACTCCAAAAAGTAGAATTAATCCCAAAATAAAGTTTCTCAAAATACACCTAAATTAGTAAGTGTTACCTCCAATAAGATCTGGCAACATGAATATGAATAGTGTAGATAGTAGTACTATCTACACAGGGCAACGAACTGTTGCTTCTCCCATTAATGATGGGCGAACTATCTTTGATCACGTGATTTACTTATGACCAATCGTAGAGCAAGATTCTTAGTATGTGGAATATAATAAGCAAATAACTACCGTTGGTGAAGGTGATGGGACAAACTAACACTTCCGAGGCGATCTGGATGTAGCTATCTTTCCGAAGCGAAGCTGAGGAAAGATAGCGAATTCAGATCGCCGAGGAAGTGATAGTTTGCCATCGCCTGAAACCAAAAGGTGATTATTTGCTTTTTATTCCTCATCGGAAACATTTCACTGGTACTAGTGGTAGGGTCTAAGAGAAAAACAGTCTAATTAAATGTTTAGGCCTAGCCTAGTTCTAGACTAGATCTAGACTTCTAAGTTCTACTGCTAGTACTAGTACTAGTAGTAGAACTAGCCTAGACCCACTGGATTTAATTTTAATTTTAAGATAGCAAGCATGATGGAGGGGACGGGGGTTGATCTACTTACCAACAGTGCTATTCCAAATAGGCTAACTCCATGAAAATTCCATACTAGCACTTAGGCTTAGCACAGCAGGTCTAAAATGAAAGTTGAAACTTGACTCCAACTCCGAGTTAAAACTTGTCCAAGTGAGAAAAAATCCAAAAGTACAATTGAAACTTTGTAAACTCCAAGAAAACTGTAACTAATGATGACGAAACACTAAACGAAACAGTGTAAAAGTCAACGTTCTAAATGCGCAAAAGAGTCTAACGTCAGTCAAATATGTACACGAACACAAGAACTAGATTCTAGATCTATAGCCTAGTCTAGTTGTAAATGTTTACAGTACAGTTGTTGAACTGGAAAGTTAAGTTCCGGTTCTGATTTTGCACTTGCACATTTTTGTTTTCAACAGGATTAGAAACAATCGTAGACTTTTCCGTTTGAGCTAGCAAACGATCCATTTGACTGTTGGAAATATCCAAGAAATCATCAATATCTTCATCATGTGTTGGGGTTTGAGTAGGACTTTGTCGGTCTGGCTGTCCGTGATCAGCCGCTCCTTCTTGAACTTGAAGACCAAGGGCTGAAGATATTGTGTCACTCATATTCATTTTTTGTTGGTCGCTCGTTTGGACGTCATGTTTGATGCTGGTTTCAGATCTAGATCTATGTCCTGAAACAGTCATTATGTCCCTTGAAGGAAATCCGGCATGATCAAGTGTGGTGATCGACATTGCTCTCAAGCAATGACTCGTGTATTTAGTCGAGCACCCTGCTTCATTGCTGATTGTCTTCATAAAAGTTCCAAGAGTGTGAATTCCGATTCGAGCATTGTCATACCATTTTCCATCCTCTCGTGCAGCTTTTCTTGGTTTTTGCCAAAGATATGGCAGTTTCAGATTTAGTTTAGATTTGTATTTCAGAAGTGTTGCAACAGGGCACCTACTACTCCCAGGAATTTCGAACATACGTCCTCCTTGGCTATTCAAGTCGTCGTCCGGGTGATTTTTTGTAGCTTTGTCGACTATACGGAAATAAAGGCGACCATTTTGTTGATTGATTGATTTTTATTCGACAAGCTTCCAACATACAACAATATACAATAATAACAGATCAAAAATAAGTCAGCTTGAACAGGATAACCCACGAAAGCTCGAGAGCTTATTTCCAGTGGGGTCCCTTACAGACATGTATAAAATTAATAAGTTAAAATAGTAATATTTACAGACAGATAAGAAAATTAAAAGAACTACTTATTAAAGATAATAATAATAATAACAACATTAAACTGATGATAGAAATGATATTAAGTACAAATGAAGAAGGAGAAGAAGAAAAAGAGAAGGAAGAAGAGGAAAATAATGATGAATTTGTAGAATTTCTATAACGTACGAAAACATAATTATATACAACATGAAAAAGTATGAACCGACAGAAGAATAACAATTTCAATCATATAACATGTCATTCACTTCTCTTCTCTGACTGTCAAGTATTAGGTATTCCTTTAATTTCCTCTTAAAATGATCATAGTTTCCTATTTCTTTTAGACCATTGGGAAGGGAATTCCAATGTTTTATGGCATTGTAATAAAACGAATTTCCAATACTACCTACTCTTTCTGGTAAGTTAAAGTTGAATCGTCTATTTCTTGTATTATAATCATGTACGTCAGTAACAAGATCGAAGTTGGATCGAATATAATGATTCGACCTAGCATGATATATTTTATGCACGTGATGCAATACGAGTTGTTTTGATCTTTGGTCGACTTCAAGAAAACCAGCTTTAGAAAGTTCGCTGTAGCCAACATGAGTTCTTGGACCAGAACAGTTGATAAATCTCACCATTTTGTTCTGTATAATCTTCAACTTCTTTTGATCTGACTTGTTTATGTTACTATACCATGCAGGGTTAGCATAGTCAAATAAACATTGAATAAGAGCAAAACAGAGTGTACGTCTTGCTTTTAAATCCATACAACTTTGATATCTGTACAAAAATTTCAGACGAGAATTTGCTTTTTTTACAACTGATTCTACTAAAGATGAAAATGAAATTGCGCTAGCCAACTCAATGCCTAAATACTTCACAGACTCTTTTCTCTTGATTGCTTGATTATTGTGTGTCACTTTGAATTCAAATGACTTTTTAGAACTACTTTTAGAACAAAATAAAATGCTTTCTGTTTTTCCCAAGTGTAAAGAAAGCTTATTATCAGTCATCCAATCGACACACGTAGACAGCTGTTCACTGAGCTTTTCCTCAATATATTTAGGATCAGGATTTGAATAGAGTAGTACGCTGTCATCTGCGTACAATAATAGTTTGAAGTCTTTTATACAAATACACATATCATTTATATAACTTGAAAATGGAATTGGGCCTAAAATGCTTCCCTGAGGAACACCGCATGTTATAGGCATTAGTTTGGAACGAATATCATGAATGGCCACTACTTGGTGCCGATTAGATAAGTAGGATCTGAACCAATCTAAACTTGCCTTATCAAAACCCATTAGTTGTAACTTCTTTAATAAGACGCAATGATTAACTGTATCAAAAGCTTTTTGCAGATCAAGGAGCACCATACCAACAAAGCGCCCTTGGGAAGTTTCTCTCCTCAAATAATCAGTCAAATGAATTAGACATGTTTCAGTCGAATAATCATGTCGAAAACCAGATTGAAATTCATAAATTATATCATTTTCTTTGAAGTATCTTTCAATTTGAACACAGACCGATTTTTCTAGAATCTTTGATGCTACGCTTAAAACACTAATAGGTCTATAGTTGCTAACATCAGTTTTATCTTTCTTTTTATAAAGTGGAGTCACTTTTGCTATTTTCATATCCTCTGGAAAAGTACTCGTCAAGATAGATAGGTTCATTTAACTTAGAGGCTTAAATAAAACCTTCGCACCATCTTTTAGAAATTTAGCTGGAATCAAGTCTAACCCAGTACTTTTTGATACATTCAACTTACGTAACTCTTTGAAAACAAATTGTTCACTGATTGGTAATAACTCGAAGCTGTTTTCACGTACACCTTTTCTTTCGTAAAAGTCACGAATACAATCATTGTCTGCGCTGAAAAAGTCTTTGGAAGGGGGGAGTTTGTCTACTAATTTGGCAGCCACATTTGTGAAATGAGAATTGAATTCATCAGCGATGGCCATCTTATTACGTTGTAGTCCACATGGAGAGTCCTAGTCTAGACTGTCTTGAATCTTGTTCATGTCGGTTTCACTGACAGGAATATGATGTTTTACGCCGGCTTTCCCCTCCTCCTTGAGTTTCCGAAGGACGGTTTTGAACACTCGACCAGACTTCGCAAAGTTGGTATTTTTAATGATGTCTATGTCTCGCAAATTCAAAAAATGTCGCTGCAAACCATACCTCAAAGCCTGTAGAGATTTCTTACTGTATGACTCTCCATTTCGCGATTTCACACCAACATAAATAAAATCTCCCCAACAGTTGGTCTAGTGCTTTCAAGTCCATGTCGGACAGTTCGTCAACATTTATGTCTCTTGCAGCATCACAATAATCCTGGAATACTTTCAGGCTCAATTTAAGTTGTCGCTTTGTATTTTTGCTTTCGCTGTCCAGCAGAAAATTGTCTAAGTCAGCCTCACTTAGGAGATCAAATCTTACTTGTTCCGCCATTTTAGAGCAACAATTATTGACAATAACACAGTAGATCTAGGCCTAAACAACGTCAGTAACAAACAGCTAGCAAACGAAATGTAGGCCTCCGCACGCCTAGACTAGACTCTATAATTTATAAAATCCAATCTGTAATTCGCGCTGCATCACCGCGGTGGCCGCGCGCGCCGTGATCGCCTGCTGCGTTGAACTTTAGTAAAAGTGCGTTGCCCTTTGTAGATAGTACCTCTATCTTCAGTGAAAGTGCGTTGCCCTGTGTAGATAGTAGTACTATTCTCCCATCAATGATGGGCGAACTATCTTTGATCACGTGATTTACTTATGACCAATCGTAGAGCAAGATTCTTAGTATGTGGAATATAATCTGCAATAATACAGCAAAATAGCAAGAAGATGGAGAGATCGAGGCAGTGAGGCAGCTGAAAGGCGCTTGACCCACAATAACAACACTAACACTACACTGTTGTCAGTGTGTGGTGTAATTTGTTGGTGTGCTTGAACTATTATGCACAAGTCTAAATTGGTTAATCTTCCTTAAAAATGTGTGTCATGTGCCTTTACATTTTAACATTTCCTGTTGCTGTTTTATGCTGCTAAGTAGATTTTTTTTTTTAAAACCAGATCCCAAAGTCTTTCTAGAAATATACTGAAGGGCAATTTCAGCGTGTTATTGTATATTTCATGAATTGCCCTTCAGAAGATTTTGAAAGTTTTAGAGTATCGTGTTTGCTATTCAGCGAAATCACAAAAAGAATGAAATAATTTCTACAGGGATATTTTTAATGCGGTACTTGATTACATTTTTCTTCTTTTTACTCGTCTTCTCCCTCTTATCAAGGTGTAAGTGGTCGTTGGAAGAACTTCTTCACTGTGGCACAGAACGAAAGCTTCGATGAATGGTATAAAAACAAGATGGCGACCACTGATCTCAAGTTTACTTTTGAGTAACCGAAACGCGGCTTTGAAGTTCTGTTAATGATGGAATTGATTCTTACACATGTAGAATCAGACTCAGCTATATAAACTGTTGATGCAGAGGAGGGATTCCGCTTTTAGGAGTCGCATTAGGGCTCACTTATTTTGGATTTGAATCCACTCCTACTTGTGATGAAATCCACTCAAAATTAGTGGTTGGATAACTCTTCTGACGGTGTGGCCACTTCAAAATGAAGTGATCCTTAATATAACTTCCCGAAAAAAACTTAATTTCCACAAATATAATGATACACAAACATACTAAAGTACATTTAAAAGAGTGATAAGCAACGACAAATAAATCAAGTTAAGTATATATAGTACCGACTGACGACCCCGTGTAAAACATTCGGTCTCTTATCTAAATGTGAGTAGGTTATCAGTGAATATGATGTCTGGAAGTTATTTTTTAATCTGTTGATATATTGATTATCAACCATTTCTTATGAGTCTGAGCCATTTATTTTTCGACATGCTTATCAGACCAAAAATTTGTCTGAAGTTATTTTTCATCGATCTTCATGCATCTTGTTTGAAAATTCCAATTTATTTCTGAATTTTGTTTGTTGTTACATCGTTTAATCAAAACAAAGGTGATGTTTGATTACATATTGCAGTCTACAACCTCCACATTGAGTTTAACTTGAAATCCAAATTGACATGTCAATATGTTTATTTACGTAATAAAAAATAATCACGTATCTGTTTTGTTATGGTTTTATGGGTTTGTTACTCTTTAATCATTGTGATTAGATGATTTACTATCCGTACTTTGGCTTTAGTTTGCGAACACGTTTAACGATGTAATCTAACTCGAAATCTATTATGTCTTACAGATTCTCATTCTTCTAGCCAGTAATAAGAATTAATTTTGTTTATTTGTTAGTTTCCTATTTACTTTTGTTTCGTTTTGTTTTAAATGATTTCGTGCGTACGGTCCTTGTAAATGAGAGTACGAGAACTGTTCCAAATTCACTCGGGGTAAACTGTCAGATTTAGATAAAAATACAATGGGCATCAAGTTGTGCTTAAAAATAAGCTTGAGTTCTGGTAATGATGGAAAATATATTATCACAGAATCCAACAAAACTTAATACACTGAATGTTCGAGATTACATAGAAATGACATGTGACAAGCGATTTTGGGCTGAGTAATGAGCATAGAAAGATAATGGCATCAAGGTGAGTAGGCCCGACACCGTGTGCTTAACACAGGTCACCATGTGCAAATTAGAGTTGTTTTTCCTTTTTTATGATTTCCAGCAAGTTTTTGTGAGTTTTTATTTTATTTTACTGGTTCAAACAATTAATATAATGCAGGATAAACAATCCAGAATTAATTATAGTCATGTTCTCTCGACATACAATTCCCATATACCAGAGCTCAAGATAAGCTTTGATATTCGAAATTCTTGAATACAGAGCTCGCAAAGTGTGCCGAGAAATCAACTCAAAAACAACAATATTCAAAGAACTTTCGAAGCGCATAGAAACGAAATATCATAATACATCATAACATGTAATGATATATATTTTAATTTTGATATATTATTGTTAATAATAACCATTTTGGACATTATGATGATCTATGTTTGATTTACTTTCTTTCTTTTTCATGCTTATTTCTATATGTTACTCATGCCTATTATGTTTTCTTTGTTTTGATTTTATTTGTTTATGTTTGCAAATGTTGTGATTTGTTGTATTTTGTCACTGGATTTTGTTCGTATAACATGTATATTTGTATTCATTTTACGGACTTTCTGAAAAACGGCCGTTAAGGCTGAGTGGAGTGACCGTGTTTAAATACATAAATGGAATGAATGAAGTGAAATATAGGCATGATAGAGATGTGTTTGGATTTTCGTCAATAAAATTGAATTTTTGATCTGACTTTGCATCTAAGCAGTCTTAGAAATGAGGTATTGAAGCAAATATTTTGTCCGATGCTACTTTGTACAACAACATCCAAAGTATGTTTAGGTATGACAAAGCAGAGCATAAATCATTTCTTTTGAGCATTATCTTTCTGTCATCGACAAATACAGTGAAGTCATGCAAAAAAAAATTATTAATCATTGTAAATATAAATATTTTAACTGTAAACAAAATGTATGTTTAGAGGATGACATTTATCATGAACGCCTTGTGAACGTAGAGAGTAATGTTATAGGCGGATTGAGGGATAGAAGAAGGGGAATAAGTTCAACCAGGAAGTGGGGCATTGTTTGCAAATGCATTGATTTGATCATTGATTACAATAGGCCTACCCTAATGACCCAAAACACAAAACCGTTTGGCGTCGGCCTGAAGTCGGTTCGGCGGTGTGACTGAAGTATAAGACGTGAGAGAAGAGAATAATCCCTATAGGCCTAGATGAAAGAGGGTTTGAGCGAGAGGAGGGGAGAGTATGCATAGGCCTATACTGGGCATGCTAATGCAGCCTCCCGGGAATTTTTTGAAATTATTAGTAGGTCTTTAAGGGCAGTGAGGTAGTCAATTTGTAAAGGTGGTCAATGAACTTGTATTGCTGATTAACTATAATTTCAATTGTTCCCCATGATAAGGTGCATTATCTATTTGCTCCCGCGCTTCGCTCGATCTCAAAAATGTGAAACTGGGAAGTTAGTGATTATATGCGCATGAGGCGACTCACCCCCCCCCCCCCCCCATCGTGTACTCTATATCACACTCACAAAATACACAGGTTATTTAATTAAAAGGTATAACCTCAACTAAAGAGCCTAAACGTAATATAACTTCAGAGCACTCTAACTATGATAAGTTTATATATTTTCTTGCTAAAGATTTTGTAAATATGTTATAATAAAGGTATCTGTTAATGCAAGTAATATGATATCATTTGGTGGAACCTGTGGGCCGGGTCATCGGGAGCCCTGAACCTATTGTATTGTATTTATTTGTATTGTATTCAATTTCCGTCAATTAAAAAACAACAACAAAATATACTTCAACAATCATAGAGACTAACTAATCAAAGGAAGGCGGAAGGATGGCCCTATTCAGCTTTGTTAGCATAACAACGCTGTTTTACAGAGGGGTCCCTAAATGTCCCAATAGGAAATGCGTCAAAAATCACGACGGCCTATTTTACTGACTAAAATATAAAAACATATATTATAATTGAACCGAATTGTGATACTCATGGATAGTGAAACGTCCACCATCATCATGAGAAAATAAAAAAGTATTTTTTCTTCCTCGCTAGCTGAAATTATTTTGACAGCAAGGCGCCCGGATATATATTATATCTTTTATTTCGAAATTGCATTGTTACCGCGCTCATTACATTGAGAAACATGATAAATAAGGCCGCAGGCACGCCGGAAGCAGTTTGGGATGGGGGAGGGGGGGGTAAACATTCCAGGGGGCTCACCTTTCAGGGGCAGTGGCGTAATGAGCAAAAACGTTTGGAAGGAGGGGGCAGAGGAAAAATCTGCATCACCACCACTCTTACACGTTACATGCAGGCCCCGTGGAACGTTTTTTCAAAGTGGAGTAATTAACGATCTGGTAGAGCGTAAATTCGCGTGGGGTCAGGCGCGGATCCAGGCGTGGGGCGGGCGGGCCTTGACGCCCCCCCCCCCCCCCCGCAAAATAAAAAAAGAGAGAGAGAAGAAAAATAAGTGAAATGGAAAGAGGAGAGAAAGGGAAAGAAAGAAGAGGAAGAAGAATAGAAAAGGGGGGAAATAGATCAGGGGGCCGAAATGATAAGAGAGAAGGAAGGAAAGGGAAAGAAAGAAGGAAAAGAGTAGATAAAGAGAAGGAGAAGAAAAGAAAAGAAGGTCGATATCAGTTGCAATTTTCCCGCTAACAAGTTGTGGATCGGGGGGGCAAAAGGCCCTTGCCTCGCCCATGCTAAAAAAAGAGAGAGAAGGAAGAAAAAGGGGAAGAGGAGAGCTAAAAGGGAACACAAAAGAGCAACAAGAAGGGAAAAAAGGGTGAAAAGAAGGGAAGATCAGTTGCGGTTAATCCCGCCGACAACGTGTGGAGCGGGATGCAGGCCGAAAGGCCCTTGCCTCCCCCCATCGAACCCAAAAGAGAGAGAAGGAAGGGAAGGGGAAGGGAAAGAGGAGAGAAAGGGAAAGAAAAAAAAGAGAAAGAAGAAAGGTAGGGGAGATCAGTTGCGATTTTCCCGCCGACAAAGTGTAATGGGAGGGGGGCACTGGCGTACTGATAAGGGGGCTTGGGGGAATAAAATTAAAACGTGGTTTATTTCTAATTCCGTAACGGTGGTTTACAAATAATGCTATTAAAAATGACATAATTTTCCGAGAAAATGACAAATTCCTAAATTTACAGCCAGGCAAGAAATATGCTTCTTGAGATGCCTACATGTCAGGGCCTGCGGAACGGCGGGGATCGGGAGCCTCTAGCTTCTTTCTCTAATAATTTAATGAAACATCAAAGCTTCCGCGCTTCGCGCAGGAGGGGGGTAAATGAATTAAGACAAGGATTAAGAATCGAGAACGGTATAGCGAATCGTCTTCTTTCTCTAATGATTTAATGAAACGTAAAAGGGGGGAACCTGAATTCAGACGAGGATTAAGAGTCGAGAATCCCCCCCCCCCTCCCCAACGGAGCAAAATGTCAAATATAAAAATTTCGTGACCAAAAAAAAAAATTAAAAAAATGTCCTGTTACCTGGCGAGCTCAAGGAGAAGGATAAAGTGCTGCCTGGATTATGAATACTATGAAAACCAGGCTTTCTGACATGTCTATTCAGGAATGGAGTGCAGCTACCTGGTCGAATAGTATTTGCACGAACTATAGGATGTTTAAGAATAAGTTGGTTTATGAAAAATACTTTAAGTAAATTTAGATGTAGAACATATAGATTACCAGTTAACACTGGCGTACTGGTGGGAGGTGCTTGGGAGGGGGCGCCAGCCCCCCCCCCCCAAAAAAAAAAAAAAAAAATTAAATTGAACCATGACATATTTTCAATTCCGTGATATATAAATGTTCGTGATATCACATTATTTTCAACAAAGTGCGCGTTTCTCCATTTCTGTTGCAAACTGACACATTCCCAAATAGCCAGGATTAGCATATGTTTTTTTTAAGATCACTAAGGGGCCGTGGCCACTAACAGTGACATTAGTAAAAAAAAAAAAATTAAAATCCTTTCCAGAAGCAACTGTCACAAGCACTGCCGGGCGTTCCATACTTACATCAGTGGGGAAATTGAATTCAGACAAGATTAAGAGTAGAGAACGGTACAACGAATCGTCTTCTTTCTCTAATAATGTAATGAAACGGCAAAGCTTCCGCGCTTCGGGAGAGGGGGGGGGGGCAACTGAATTCAGACTAGGATTAAGAGTCGAGAACGGTACAACGAATCGTCTTCTTTCTCTAATAATTTAATGAAGTGTCCAGGCGCGGATCCAGGGGGGGCCGAGCGGGCCTTGCCCCCCCCCCCCCTGCAAACAAACAAACAAAACAACAACAAAAAAGAAGAGAGAAAGAAGGAAAAGAAGGGAAAGGGAAAGAGGAGAAAGGGGGAAAAAAGAAGAGGAAGAAGAAATGAAAAGAGGGAAGAAGGAGATCGGGGGGGGGGCAAAAGGACTTGCCTCTTAGGTTGTTGCCTCCCCCCTCCCCCCCCCCCCCCCACCCCCATCAAAAAATAAAAGAGAAGGAAGGAAAGGGAAAGAAAAAAGGAAAAGAGGAGATAAAGGGAAGGAAAAAAGAGGAAGAAGAAAAGAAAAGAAGGGGGATATCAGTTGCAATTTTCCCACCAACAAGTTTTGGATGGGGGGGCAAAAGGCCCTCCCCCCCCCCCCTGCCCCCCGTCCCCGCTAAAAAAAAGAGAGAAGGAACGAAAAGGAAAAGAGGAGAGCTAAAAAGGGAACAAAAAAGAGGAAGAAGAAAAGAAAAGGGAGAAAAGAAGGGAAGATCAGTTGCGGTTAATCCCGCCAACAATGTGTGGATCGGGGGGGGGTAAAAGGCCCTTGCCCCCCCCCCCCCCTGCCCCCCGTCCCCGCTAAAAAAAATAGAGAGAAGGAACGAAAAGTAAAAGAGGAGAGCTAAAAAGGGAACAAAAAAGAGGAAGAAGAAAAGAAAAGGGAGAAAAGAAGGGAAGATCAGTTGCGGTTAATCCCGCCAACAATGTGTGGAGCGGGGTGGGGGTCAAATTGACCTTGCCCCCCCCCCCCCCCCCAGCAAACCTAAAAGAGAGAGAAGGAAGGGAAGGGAAAGGGAAAGAGGAGAGAAAGGGAAAGAAAAAAAGAGAGAATGAAGAAAGGTAAGGGATATCAGTTGCAATTTTCCCGCCAACAAGGTGTAGATCGGGGGGGGGGGGAAGGCACTGGCATACTGATAGGGGAGGGGGGGGCTTCGGGGAAATAAAATTCAAACGTGGTTTATTTCTAATTCCATAACGGTCGTTTACAAATAATGCTGAAATGACATGATTTTCGAGATTTTTCCTCACTTTAAGAAAATTATACTTTTTTATGCGTTTGTTGGAAAATGATAAATTTCTAAATCTACAGCCAGGCAAGAAAATGCTTCTTGAAATGCCTACATGTCAGGGCCCGCGGAACGGCGGGGATCGGGATCGATCAGTGCCAGTGCCAGTGTATAATGAAGTATCAAGATATGCTCGATCGGGATCGAGCACCCCCCCCCCCCCCCCCACTTTTTTTGAAAAAGTATATTAAAGAGAAATAGAAAGAAAAATAGTTAACTGCCAGTGCCAGTGTATAATGAAGTATCAAGATATGCTCATCTGAACATGATTAAATGCCTAAACCCCGAGGGCTCTGCCCCCTGGGTTCCACCTAGGGCCCTACCGTGGGCCCTTAGGTGCTCATCTGACGGTAATTTAATGCCTAAAACCCTTGAGCTTCCGGGGGCTCCGCCCCCTGAACCCCACGCCAATTAGTGACCTGCCAGTGTCACAATTAGGTATCAAAATAATGCTCATCTGACCGTAATTAAATGCCTAAAACCCCTGAACTTACGGGGCTCTGTCCCCTGGACCCAGCCTAGGGCCTTAAGGCAGACCCCTGAATGTTAATCTGACCGTAAATTATTGCCTTAAACCCCTGAGCTTCCGGGGGCGGACAAGGTATCAACATATGTTCATCTGACCGCAGGCGCTTAGTTAGGGGGTCGGTGGAGGGTAGTCCCCCCAAAAAAACGTTGGCCAAAAAAAGAGAGGAGAGAAAAGGAAGAGGACGTAAGAAAAAAAGGAAGTAGACAAGGAGCATTTTTGAAATTCAGACAAAGATTAAGAGTCGAGAATGGTGATACGAATCGTCTTCTTTCTCTAGTGAATTAATGAAACGTCAAAGCTTCCGCGCTTCGCGCGGGGGAGGGGAGGGGGAACTGAATTTAGACGAGGATAATTTTCGAGAACGGTATAACGAATCGTCTTCTTTCTATAATAATTTAATGAAACGTCGAAGCTTCCGCGCTTCGCATTGGAAGAGGGGGGGACTGAATTTAGACAAGGATTAAGATTCGAGAACGGTACAACGAATCGTCTTCTTTCTCTAATGATTTAATGAAACGTCAAAGCTTCCGCGCTTCGCGCGGGGGAGGGGAGGGGGAACTAAATTTAGACGAGGATAATTTTCGAGAACGGTACAACGAATCGTCTTCTTTCTATAATAATTTAATGAAACGTCGAAGCTTCCGCGCTTCGCGTTGGAAGGGGGGGGCTGAATTTAGACAAGGATTAAGAATCGATAACGGTACAACGAAACGTCTTCTTTCGCTAATGATTTAATGAAACGTAAAAGCTTCGCGATGGAGGGAGGGGGGACATTTGCCCCTCCCTGCACCCACCCCCCCCCCCCCCATTACGTAACTGCTGGTCACCATTACGTAACAATATTTAGCTCGCATAATTTCAAATTTGGGCCCCCCCCCCCCCCCCTAAGAAATCCTGGATCCGCGCCTGTGTGTCAAAGCTTCCGCGCGGGAGGGGGGAAACTGAATTCAGATAAAACACGATACAACGAATCGTCTTCTTTCTCTAAGAATTTAGTGAAATGTGAAAGGATTAAGAGTAATAATTTATTAAAAACGTCAAAGCTTCCGCGCTTCGCGCTTGATGGACGAAAAAGTATTCAGACAAGGATTAAGAGTAATAATTTATTGAAACTTTAAATATTCCGCGCTTCGCGCGGGAGGTAGGGGGGAACTAGATTCAGACAAGGATTAAGAGTCTGGACCGGTACAATGAATTGTCTTCTTTCTCTAATAATTTAATGAAACGTCAAAGCTTCCGCGCTTGGAGACGAGAACGGTACAACTGATCGTCCTCTTTCTCTAATAATTTAATGAAGTATCAAAGTTTTCGCGCTTCGCGCGGGAGGGGGAAAACTGAAAAATAACTTAGTTCCTGGCCCCGGGTTTATAGGGTTAAATTTGTAGACATTTGGACATTGGCATTAATATATTTATCGGTAATTGGTTGCTCGTTTTGTCGGTAATCGTTGGCCTCTTCACCCTCCCCACTCCCCCATTGAACAAGATCTAGCGACGCACCTGATAACGACACAGTTTATACACTCGAGATAATTTTTGCAAGTACTACTGATGAAGTACCGGACCACCATTTTTGTGCATTGTGCGGCATCAAAGCATATACAACGTCTCACGACTTGACAGATCACTTTTCTGTAACTTCTAACCAATCAAAAGGCCTCGTTTTTCCAGGATGTGCCGGTGGACATTAATGCGCCAAATGTGGTTCTCAAATTGCAAAAGATCCCTACTCTTGGAAGGGGTAGGAGAAAGCAATTTTACTTCATATTACTCCAAGAAATGCCTGAAATGCGTCTAATTTGGTTCTAAAATTGCAAATGTTTCTTTCTCTGGGAGGAGGCCAGAACGCCTTCCCAGACCCACCCCAGCTAGGTCGCTCCGCTCCCACGCCGCTAAAGCCTCGTTCTGTCACTTCATCGTTTTACATATATTTAACCCCATGCTATTTTGTGCCCCCCCCCCCCCTCCGGTAAGAAATTCCTGGATCCGCCACTGATGCCCATACCCCTTGAGCTTCGGGGGCTCCGCCCCTTGACCCCCGCGGGGGCTTTGCGAAACGTTCAGCGGGGCCTGCATGTTAGAGTGGGGTGATGCGGATTTTTTTTTTGGCAGCCCCCCCCCCCCCCCCCTCCAAAAAAAAAAAAAGTTTTTGCTCATTACGCCACTGCCAGTTATTAAAGGTAGATTTGATGCAAATGTATGATGATTTGCACTGCCCACTCTGTACACCTACAGAATATTGGTGATGAATTTCATTATATTTTTGTATCTCCATTCTTTCAAAATGAGAGAAAAATGTATAATTATACCAAATAACTTGTGTGGTAGTAGCTTAAGACCAAGTGCGTTGCACATGGATAAACTTTTTAATACAGCTAATGCTTGCCAGCTAAAGAAATTAGCCAAATTTGTTAGAATCATTATGTCACTTTTTCAAAAGAGTCAAGGGTAGATGGTAATACTGTAAATGATAACTCACAAGTAAGCAATGTTGTTAGGCACACTCGTAGCGGTAGGAGGGTGAATTGCCCAGTTCGCCTTGATTTGTACATATGTTTATTTGTATACACATGTTTATAATTGTTCATATTATCACATGTTTAATATTGTTCATATTATCACATGTTTGTTATTGTTCATATTATCACATGCTTGTCTTTGTTCATATTATCATATTATGTTTATCATAATATCATTGTTCATATTATCACACGTTTATCATTGTTATACTATTGTTATATTGATACTATGTTGTAAATACCAGGGGCGGATCCAGGATTTGCCGGTAGGGGGGGCCTAAAATGTGAAAATCGACCAAAATCTCGCTCAGTGGGGGGGGGGGGTAGTGATCATAAAATTTTTTCTCGTATTTGACCTCGAAAATGTGAAAATCGTGCCGACCAATATCTCGATCAGTGGGGGGGGGGGGTAATGGAGCATCACTTTTTTTGGGTAGGTCTATATGACCCCGAAAATGTGGAAATTCTAGCCTACCGATATCTCGCTCAGTGGGGGGGGGGGGGTAGTATGCATAATTTGTTTTTGGTATTTGACCCCGAAAAAAAAAAAAAAAAAACAGGGGGGGGCCCGGGCCCGTCGGGCCCCCCCCCCCCCCCCCCCGTGGATCCGCGCCTGGTAAATACATTTGTAATCTCATACCCCGAGAGGGGGTCGATAGAGTCAATAAAATCTTACATTATCTTACATTATTATTATGCAAATAAGTTTATTGATACTACTTGAACCACAGAGGTTTAAATTGATATTTAATAAAATCGATGTTATCGATCTGAACAACCTGAATCATCCAAAGTTGATATTTTAAGACAAATAACATAACAAGTTTCAGTGGCGGATCCAGGGGGGACAGGGGGTACGTGTTATTTTTTGTTTTTTTGTTATGTACCAATCATTATTGATGACCTGTAAATATTGTGATATTAGTTTTTATTTAATAAAACATACAAATAAAAGTTTGGGCTATACGTATAAGGTCGCAACTAGCTAACTACCTAGCTAGCGCCCTCCGCGCTCGAATTGCACCTAACAAATCTGTGTGTGTGCGTGTGTGTGTGTGTGTGTATTTGATTTTTACAGACGTGTATCAATCAGATATGATTATTTACGTCTGGGGACCGACCTTTAAACGTCACCATCCGAAAGACGTGAATCAGTTTCGAACCTGCGTCCTCGGCTGAATCAGTTTGTAACTTCCACTGTTAGCTGGATTACAGGCGCACGCCACAACGCCTAGGCCAAGCCTAGGCCAACCCAAGGCCAAGCCTAGGCTAGGCCCAAAGCGGAAGTTGCGGTGATTAAATGTGATTAACCTTGCTTATTTGAACCAAAACATCAGACCTGTTTTGCTTGTGTTAATGGCCAGGTCACGGTCGCATCGTACGTCCGTGAATCAGCTGATGACGCCACTCCAGCTCGAGCGGATGGTCAAATCTTCGCTACGCGGACGCTCCCCGTGCTTGGGTTGTTTTCATGCCTGAGAGCAAGAAGTTACCAGCAACTTCTTGCTGAGAGTGTGTGCAGGCACAGCTCAGGACGCAAATAAAGGTAAGTTTCTGTTTCGGTTTCTGTTTCGGTTGCGTCGGTAGATTCAGGTTTAACTGTACTTCACCAACGTTTTGATTTGTATGGTCGCGGTTGTGCTATGGAAGGAGAGGTGTTTCACATTTGAAGTTTCTGCTTGAAGACTGTACTAGAGGTAGACATAACTGTTTCCTCCTTGAGTAGGTTCCATTCTGCTGCTGTCCTGTTGAAGAAAGAGTATTTGTGCACGTCCTTCTTAATCAACACCCTCTGGATTCTTTTGCTGTTCCCTCTAGTTGTTCTTCCCCCTCTGTTGTTGGTTTGGATGTATGTGTCGGCCTTGATTCCCACTTCTCCGTTTATGATCTTGTACAGGAGTTGAAGTCTGGCAATCCTCCTTCGATTCTCCAGTGAATCCCACTCTAACTCCTTGATCATTTGGGAAACACTGCTCAGTTGCTTGTAGTCATTCATGCAGAATCTAGCTGCCTTTCGTTGGATCGATTCGATGAGAAGGATGTCCCCTTTGCGGTACGGGTCCCATGAACTACTGGCGTACTCCAGGATGGGTCTGACCAGCGTTTTGTATGCAGACTCTTTGATGACCTTGGTACAAAACCAGAGGTTTCTTCTTAGGAAGCCAAGCACCTTGTTGGCTTTGGAGGTGAGCTTCTTGTAGTGAGTGTCCCATCTCAGCTTGTTGTCGATTTCCACACCGAGGTAGGGATAAGAAGACACTTCTTGAAGTGGTTGACCACAGAAGGTGTAATTCCTATTCGGTGGGTCCCGATTGTTGGAGATCTTCATGACCGTACATTTGGCTGGGTTGAAAGACATGGCCCATTTGCTCTGCCAAGCTTCGAGTTGGTGGAGATCCTCTTGGAGGGTATCCAATTCTTCTCTGGACTTGCCGTTTGTATAGATGATACAGTCGTCGGCGAAAAGTCTGGCAGTGCTGCGAAGATTGTCTGGCAAGTCATTGATGAACAGCAAGAACATCAGTGGGCCGAGTACCGTTCCTTGCGGTACGCCTGACAAGACTTTCTTAGGTTTTGATGAAGTGCCATTGCAGACTACCTTCTATGTCCTTGCTGTGAGGAAATGTCTCATCCACTGAAGTAGTGGACCTCTAATTCCATGATAGTCTAATTTCCCAATCAATCTTTCGTGGGTCACCTTATCAAACGCCTTGGCAAAGTCAAGGATTGCCATGTGGGTTGTTTCTCCATTCTCCACATTTTTAGTCAAGTCATGGGTAGTAAGGATCAACTGTGTCACTGTAGAGTGTTTTGCCCTGAAACCATGTTGGTTATCCGCCAAGATGCCATGGGCCTCTAGATGTTTCATTATGTGAGAGTGGATGACATGTTCCAATATCTTGCTGATCACACTTGTTAGAGAAACTCCCCGGTAGTTGGCAGGTTCTTCCTTGGGCCCTTTTTTGTAGATGGCACAGACATTGGCATCTCTCCACTGAGATGGGAGAACTCCTTCGTCCGTAGATTGCTGAAAGATGTCTGTCAACACCGGAGTGATTTCTTCTGCACACAAATGTAGCATCCATGGTGAAATACCATCTGGTCCAGGGGCTTTGTTGGGCTTGACCCTTTTGATCTGCTTCAGAACACCCTCGTTCGTTATGGTCAAGGTTGGTATGTCAGGAACACTGCTCCTTCCCAGGGTTGGGACATCTAATGTATCTTCGATGTTGAATACACTAGCAAATTGGTTGCTGAGAGCCTCTGCTTTTTCCAAGTCGTCGCTGATGATTTTGTTAGAAACCTTGAGATCAGCAACACCAGACTCTTCCTGTCTCATTTTCTTGACAAATGACCAGAAGGCCTTCGGGTTCTCTACCATACAGTGGGACAGGTTATCTGAGACGTAGTTCCGTTTAGCCCTGTTAAGTTCTCTTCTGAGAGAGTGACTGAAGGTCCTGTAGATCTCCCAGTCTTTATTATCCTCAGATTTCTTCTGTTACTGGAGGACTTTGATGGAACATGCTCGTTCACGACTAGTTTGATCTTACTCTCAAACAAGTCCCATTTCTCTTGGACAGATTTCTCTGAAGCTGCTAGGAAAGCATCACTAAAGTCACTCATTTCCTGTCTAATTTTCTCGACGTTTGCCTTCTGTCTGATGTAGATCTAACGAGTAGGAGTCTTGCTCTTCCTAACCCCTACGTTTAGGTCGGTCAGAACTGCATGGTGATCACTCAGACCAGGTATGACCAAGACCTCGTCAATGAGGGAGGAATTGTTGACCAACACCAAGTCGAGTGTATTGTTCAATCTTGTTGGCTGCATTACCTTCTGTTCCAAGCCGTATGCTTGCGTGGTTTGTAGCAGTTTATCAGCTGACTCTTTAGATGCAGAGTGGTTGAGTACGGTTGAACTAGTAAGCCAATCGATGTTTGGTTGATTGAAGTCACCTTGTAGCACAATGTCTCTAAGTTTGGCACAGTTGTTTATCAACTCCAGTGAAGCAGCTAACTTATCCACAGTTTCGGTGTCGTCGTGCTTTGGTTTGTATACCGTCCCGAATAGTATTGGACGCTTTCCTTGAATATCAAGCTGGCACCACATGATCTCACAATTGGTTTCTAGATCTTTTCTACGCTTTACAGGGAGGTCCTTTCTGTAGGCAAAGAATACTCCACCATGTCTGTCTGATAGCCTATCTCTTCGCAGGGCTGTATATCCCTCTGGTAGAAATTCGGCACTGTTGATAGATGGATCCAACCAGGTTTCAGTACCGTGTATGAAGTCTGGTTGTAATTCGTGGATCATTGCTTCCCATTCAGCACGCTTATTCATAATGCTTTGGAAGTTGACATTCAGTGATCTAAATTTGTTCCGCTTCTTCAGCTTGGACCAGTTGAATTTTGATGAAGATCTATTGTCTCTGTTCTCCTTGTCTTTGCCGTAGTCGCAATCATTCTTGTCACCGTTGTCGTCTTCGTCAGCTTCCTCCTCGTCAGATAAGGAAGAGGAGTTTGAGGAGTTGATAGCTTCGCATAAAGGGCAAACCCAGCTGAACGACGTCTCAACTAGATTGTCATAAGTGTCGTTGTCAACTCCTGCACACTGGTTGTGGGTCCATGCTTTGCATTCGTCACATTCCAGGCCACGTTGACCATACTTGACATTGTTGTTGCACCTAGTGCAAGGGGCTAAACAGTCTTGGCAATACCATGGTTTGCCGTTCACGATTGATCTGAATTCTGCTGAACTTACTCCACAGCAGCTGGAGTGGTTATTCTGTCCACAGTCATTGCATGATATCCACCTGCGATTACTACTTCCCTTCCGGTGGCAAATTCCGCATTGTCTATCCTGTTGGGGTGATTTAGGTAACATGTTCATGTATTGTATAAAATGGTATCTAGACTTGGTGAATCCAGTGAGTTCAAGAGTAGAAAAAACGTAGCACGTTGCACTGAACACAAGTTCACAAAGATTGTAATGTAGACTCTATATAAAAGTGATGTCACATGAAGTACACAATGTCACTAAGAACACAGTAAAAAGTTTCATAAGAGGATGAGGGCTGCTACTCTCCACTGCTGGCTCGACTTTAAAAAGCAGGAACATCCAAGGCATATAGTATAGTACGTTGCACCAAACACAAATTCACAAAGTTTGTAATGTAGACTCTTACATGAAGTACACAATGTCACTAAGAACACAGGAGAGAGTTTCATAAAAGGATGAGGGGCTGCTACTCTCCACTGCAGACTCGACTTTAAAAAGCAGGAACATCCAAGACATTCACAAAGTTTGTAATGTAGACTCTATAAAGATGTCACATGAAGTACACAATGTCACTATAAAGAACACAGTAAAAAGTTTCATAAAAGGATGAGGGGCTGCTACTCTCCACTGCAGACTCGACTTTAAAAAGCAGGAACATCCAAGACATTCACAAAATTTGTAATGTAGACTCTATAAAGATGTCACATGAAGTACACAATGTCACTATAAAGAACACAGTAAAAAGTTTCATAAAAGGATGAGGGGCTGCTACTCTCCACTGCTGGCTCGGCTTTAAAAAGCAGGAACATCCAAGGCATAGGCCTAGTACGTTGCACCAAACACGAATTCACAAATTCACAAAGTTTGTAATGTAGGTCTACCGTCTAGATCTAGAGATCTAGACTACGGTCACATGAAGTACACAATGTCACTAAAACACAGGATAAAGTTTCATAGAAGGATGAGGGGCTGCTGCTCTCCACTACTGGCTTGACTTTAAAAGCAGGAACATCCAAGGCATAAATAGTTTTAAACAATTAATTTTTTTTTTTTTTGTATAAAAAATTCAGCACAGACACAACAACATGGTGAATGATAAATGTGTGATACTTGCGGTCTTTCTGGGTTTCTCCTCAAGGAAATACACTATTTCCTCTGCTGCAGCTACTATAATGCAGTTCCATACACAGTTAAATGGGGCTTTGATGTTGCCCGCGTGATGAAGGTGCGGAATGAGGAGTGAAGAGATGAAATGACTTGCTGTTCAAATCCAAGATGGCGTCTTCCAAGATGGCGTCTTTTTCTCGCTACGCTGGTTGGTAAAAATATGTCTCTTTCCTAGAAACGAAATGATGATGTTGGAATCACATAAAAACAGGTAGAGATGATAAAAAACTTGACGGCAGCTCCTTTCTTGTCGGTCGTTGACTGTGTGAAGTTTCCCTTGCTGGTCTGGTAGTACTCCGACGAGAAGTGCACGCGCCGACCGCCGCCACCCGAGCCGGCCGGACTGGTCCTGCCTTGCTTGCTGGCCTGGTACTAGTACTCCAATCGCCGCCGCTTCGATGTCCCATTTGCGTTGTACGTTGCTCGTAGATCTTCTTATCAGATGTTATGCTAGATTTTGCTAAAATGATGAAATGCGTAGTTCCAAGGAAATATTAATGTCCGTAGATGAAGAAATACACAAAAATGTAGAACGGGGATGAAGGATGTTACAGATAAAGATGGATTTAAATGTCTCTTAAAATTGAATCTCGGGAGCGATGTGAAAACACGTCCTATCCGCACGCACGACCATACTTTGTACTAGCTAGGCGTACTCTCAGCTCTCTAGTCAGCTTGAATCTTGGATTCTTTTCCTTCTAAATACTCCGAAGAAGAGTTTTGACTGGAGGTGGTGGAGGGTGGACGATTACATTTTGGGAAAAAGTTCTTTAGTAACTGCATTTTTAAATGAGAGCGGGGAGGTTTGGTTTGGTCGATGGTTGCTTGTTGTTGTAGGTTGTTCCATGTATTTAGCCTACAGTCCTTGGGGTATGGGTGTGGGTACCAATGAAGATTTGTGATTGTTAAACTTGTCAACTTTTCTTGCTTACTTTGCTAGCTATTTTAAATTTATAAACTTATATCTACCTTCATATGTATAATTATAACACTCCTACACCATGTACACTGCATGAAGCCACAACAAGGTGTAACCTTAAATGGTATGGACCACATACAGTTAACAACTAAATTGTTCATGCCCCGAGGAAATTCTATGTTTTTTGTGATTTTCGTAACTCAGGAATGATAGGTAGACCGGTTGAGTACTTAAAGATAGATAGCATTATCTCACATTCTCAAGAAGTATAAATTGGCCGAATTGGGATAAATAATTGTTTTAAATACTTACAAAATTACAAAATTTGGTAAGGCCAGGATATTTAGTTGTAAACTACATGTATAGTTACATGTACAAATTGTACATGTACATGTACACACATTGCCATCAGCGCTAAGAAGTGCAAACTTTTGGCACACATCCTTTCTTTCCTCTGATATCTGAAAATTCATTATATGACATGTGTTGTACCATGATCTGATCATAATGATCTTTTATTACTACACCCTAAATGTATATGTATCTTCATGTTCTAATGGCTAGCTTTTCTCTTTTTACTTGTGCAGATCATAAAGCCATCTGAGCAACCAAGGTCAGAAGATTAACTGATTTGATGTTAAGATGGCCAGGCCTAATAATGGTCTCGTACCGTTCATCGTACTTTACGGAATCGTGTACATCATAGATTTTCATCACAAGCTTTTGACAAATCTTTTTGATTGCTTTGTCCAACTATGGGAGCTGTCAGTACAAGTAGGGATAACTATTGGGAATGCGTATGTGTTCATTATCGAGTTCCTTCCAGAGTTGCCTGTAAGAAGTTTTCATCTGGGAAAGAACCTGCTTGAACTTGTTCTGAACCTGGTGAACGATGCAGCCCAGGCATGTACGTCCTGGTTTTGGGCGACCCTAGCAAACGGATTGGAGAAGTTGACAGCCATCTTCAAGAATCTAGGACTGGCATTCATCAGTGTTTTGACTCAACTGTATGACTTACTTGTTTTCCACTGTGTTAGCTTTTTGAAGGCTTTAGTAGATTCTTTTGTGAGGGTTTTTGAAGATCTGATTGAAATTGTTTGCTCCAGCATCAGCAGTATCGCAAATGGTCTTTATTATATTATTATAAACACGTTGAAAGAAATCCCCACAAAGTATGTCACAGTGATAGACTACTTTGGCCAAACTGTTGGTGCCGTTTTTGAAAGCGCTGCAGAAGGATATTCGTCAATTAGTTCGTTCATCATAAATAATTGGGGCGCCCTCTTAGCTCTGGCTCTCTTTATTACCCTGGTGTGGGTCTCCTTCAACATGAGAAATATCCAAAACATCCTTAAAGATCTCACTCAAATTGTAAACAGCTTCACACATTATCTACCCCATGAGATCGACAGGGAGCAGGTGAGACCTGAAGGCCACCTTCAACATAACATTCGCCCTCAAGGTCAGCAACAAGTGGAACTTCAAGATCGGAATGAAGGTCCAAGTAGGACCATACACCCTCTGCACTTCACTTCATAAGGTGAACCCTCTGGCGAAAACAACTCGGTGGAAAGCATCATGAGTGACCTTAAAAACAGATTAATCGAGGAAGAGGAAAAACATCTATGCGTGGTGTGTCAGGATGCAGTGAAGGATACGCTCTTCGTACCCTGTCGACACCTTTGTGTCTGCCTACCCTGCGCTGACAAAATAATGAGCAATGAAAAAATTCTCTCACGGAACTGCCCTCTGTGTAGGACTAGGATTGGATCAATTTTGCAGGTTTACAGTTAAAGAAAAAAACATTTTGCAGGATCGTTCAAAATGAGCTTCCTTGCTTGCAAGTTTATTTGTTTGCCATCATTTGAAATGATCAATTCTAGCCAAATTTTATTTTTGTAAATGAAAGTACACAACACATGTACTTGAATTAGTCCTTAGTGCAGGCCTACATGAATGTGTTTTCTTTCATTGTTCAGAGATGGTGAAGAAAATATAAGTTCAAAATTGACTGTTTCCTTCACATTGGTATGATCCAAGCTTAAGTAATTAATGCTACATTTGTACATGTACATGTATGTAAGTATCAACTCGATATAATAAACAGAAAAATAGTTAGAATTAAGATGCACCCAGTACTTAACATATTTTTAGAACAAGAAATCCTACATGTAGCCTTGCCCTTTGAATACTTTTAACCTGAGACGATGATTAAGGCATCACCCCGGAATATATACATGTACAGTATGTCTACCGTAAATTAAATGCATTTGATTTTTGTACATAGTCATACCAAAGAACAACCTCTTTCTGTGGAATCTGCTCTATTGTTAATTAATTGTACATTGTATTTCCCTCTTTGAAATTTGGAAGGTTTTGAGCATACATGTGAGTTCTCACTTTACGTTAATCGTGTGATCGTTTACTGTTGCGTAACTTGCATTTTGCCTGTTAAGATCCAGAAGAGGGTTACAAGCAACTGAAGCAAGAATTCAATGTAAAGTATCCATGTATGTTGAGTTCACTGAAGCCTTAATGCTTGGTAGATGGTGTTATGCCTAGGTCTGCTGTGACTAAAGAGCATTGTCTTTACAGATGCAGGGTGAGGGCTCAAAGATCAAATATTTGTGGAGCAGGTGAATTTAAGCCCCACTGCACTACTTATAGCTACTTGGTCCACTATATAATAGTCAATAGGGAATTTTAGATTTGTACGTCAACATAGTGGTCTGCTACATGTGGAGTCCTTATAAGGCAATTCTAATCGGTGACCGTTGGTACCCCATGATCCCCTCTTTGATGTGTTAATTGAGAACTAATTTGATGAGATAACCAACTGTCAGTGACCATGCATGGAGGTCTAATCCCTCCTGGCCTTACTCGTGCAGACGGGCTTTCAGAATTTGAAAAATCATGTAATGTTTGCCTAGATCCGAGGGTGCTTGTAGTTCATTACCATCTAGACATGATGTTAAAATGGAGTGGGTTACTACTTACTAGCCAAAAAAAAATTGTGAGGGTTTACCATAACATTCTTCAATGAGTGAACAAATGGGGGTGTCAAATTGTCAATTTACCCCCCCCCCCCCTTTCCTCTTTATCTCACATCCTTGCCATGATCAGAACATTTGTTTTATATTCATGTGAAAATAGATACATATATCAAGTGGTGGACTAGAAAGATGACTTTTCATATTAAAATGTTATAAAATTGTGTTTATGTGTTAAAGACTTTTTTTTTCTTTGGAGAGGATTAAACTTTGTTTAAATGTTTTTTGAAATATGGCTACTACTTCTAAGTTCAATGCAAAATTGCAAGTTCTTTTGCCTCTATGGCATTTGGCATTTCTGTTATAATATATATATTTTGAAACTTGAATATACATGTATGTTATACTGATATTCATTGGAAATGTTTCATCGATACCAGGAATAGTTAACTCACATATCCCTGTCTATACATAGACCCACAAATCATCTTGTGATAAAATAAAAGTTCAAACTATTCATCAGAAGAATTAGCACTAGAGGCATTATATTACCGGTATCTGGTGAGTGAGAGTTCAGTGGCGCCCTATTACAAACATTATGGCTTGTCCTACTTACCAACATGTAATGTATGCAATTCACATTTTGACTATTGAAATACGAATACCGGTAGGTGAATGAAATCATTTGTAACGAGGCACTTAACAAACAAAAAATTGCATTGAATTTATTATATTACAAAAATGCCCAACTGCCTTTTATTTTACGCTATACTCGCTGTCTTTAACATAATCAAAAATCGATATTATGCAAAGAAGGTTATTGATAATTTGATACTACAATGTACTTGAACAGTGGAGGTTTAAATTAATGTCAAACTCAAAGCCCCACTGCACTACTTATATAGCACTTGCATCCTCTATAGCAAACAATGCCTAATCGGTGACCATTGGTCCCCTATCGTCCCCTTTTTCTTATGTTAAATGAGAGCTGATTTGATGAGATAATCACCTGTTGGTGACCATGCAGGGAGATCTAATCCCTCAAGGCCAAACTAGTGCAAGTAGGCTTTAACTGAAATCGTTGTTATCTGAACAACCCATGGGCGGCAGAGCGTCTTTCAAAGAAGGGGGGGGCACCTACAAAAAAGGGAACCTATAAAGGGAAACCTGAAAGTGAAAATATATCACTTTTAGACATTGGTATATCAGGCCCGTGCAAACTAGTGGTTTGGGGGGTCCGCGCGAACCCCCCCCCCCCCCTAAAAAAAATAGTGCTCACTACCCCCCCCCCCCTTAATTGTTTATTCGCCATTTACTTGCTCATTACCTCCCTCGCACTCAGGCCCAGGGGCGTCGCTAAAAGGGGGTGCGATACCCCCCCCCCCCCTCTTATCTGTCTGTAAATATTACTTTTTTAACTTATTAATTTTGTACATGTCGACTGTAAGGGACCCCACTGGAAATAAGCTCTCGACCTTTCGTGGGTTATCCTGTTCAAGCTGACTTGTTTTTGATCTGTTATTATTGTATATTGTTGTATGTTGGAAGCTTGTCGAATAAAAATCAATCAATCAATCAATCAAAGTTGAAGTTTGGGCCATTTAAGGTCTCAACTACGGTACCTAGCTAGCGCCCTCCGCGCTCGAAAGGCCCAAAGCCGAAAAAACCTTGTTTTGGAAGTTGCGGTATGCGGAGCGCGGTAGGCAGTTATTTAATTAAAATGTGTTTAACCTTGCTTATTTGCAGGCGCGGATCCAGGGGGGCCGAGCGGGCCTTGGCCCCCCCCCCCCCCCTGCAAAAAAAAAAAAAAAAAAAAAAAAAAAAAGAGAGAAAAAAGGAAAAGAAGCGAAAGGGAAAGAAAGAAGAGGAAGAAGAAAAGAAAAGGGGGCAGAAGGAGATCGGGGGCCGAAAGGGCTTTGCCTCTCAGGCTGTTGACCCCCCCCCCCCCCCCATAAAACAAATAAGAGAGAAGGAAGGAAAGGGAAAGGAAAAGAGGAGATACTGGCGTACTGATAGGGGGGGGCTTAGTGGAAATCAAATTCAAACGTGGTTTATTTCTAATTCCACAACGGTGGATTACAAATAATGCTGAAATGACATCATTTCCGAGATTTTTTCTCACTTTTTAGTAAATTATACGTTTGTATGTGTTTGTTGGAAAATGACAAATTCCTAAATTTGCAGCCAGGCAAGAAATATGATTCTCGAGATTCCTACATGTCAGGGCCCGAGGTACGGCGGGGATCGGGAGCCTCGAGCTTCCCCCCCCCCCCCCAACACTTTTTTTGAGAAAGTATATTAAAGAGAAGAAAAAAAATGAGAGCAAGAAAGAAAGAATAGTTAACTGCCAGTGTTAACAAATAATGAGGCATCAAAATATGCTCATCTGACCGTGATTAAATGCCTAAAACCCCTAAGCTTCCGTGGGCTCTGCCCCCTGGATCCCACCAAGGGCCCTACGGCGGGCCCTTAGATGCTCATCTGACGGTAATTTAATGTCTAAAACCCCTGATTTTGGGGGGTTCCGCCCCCTGCACCCAACGCCAAATAGTTACCTGCCAGTGTCACGAAATAATAAGGTATACAAAAAAAAATGCTCATATGACCTAAATTAAACGCCTAAAACCTCTGAGCTTCAGGGGCCGGCTTCGCCGCCGCCCCAGACAAGGATTAACAATCGAGAACGGTACAGCGAATCGTCTTCTTTCTCTCATAATCTTATGAAACGTGAAGCGGGGAGGGGGAACTTGAATTCAGACAAGGATCCAGAGGCGAGAACGGTAATACCAATCTTTTATGATTTAATCAAACGTAAAAGCTTCCGCGCTTCGCGCGGGATGGAGGGAGGGAACTTCATTTCGACGAGGATTATTTTCGAGAGCGGTACAACGAATCGTCTTCTTTCTCTGATGATTTAATGAAAATGAACCTGAATTCAGACGAGGATTAAGAGTCGAGAACTGAACGGCAAATCGTTTTTTTTTTTCTCTCATAATCTTATGAAACTTTAAAGCTTCAGCGCTTCGCGCGGGAGGTGGGGGTAAACTAAATTCAGACGAGGATTAAGAGTCGAGAACTGTACAAAGAATCGTCTTGTTTCTCTAATGATTTAATGAAACGTAAAAGCTTCCGCGCTTTGCGCGGGAGGGGGGGGAGAATTTAAATTCAGACGAGTTTTATTTTCGAAAACGGTACAACGAATCGTCTTTTTTCTCGAATGATTTAAGGAAACTTAAAAGGGGGGAACCTGAATTCAGACGAGAATTTAGAGTCGAGAACTCTACAACGAATCGTTTTCTTTCTCTAATAATTTAATAAATCCTAAAATTTTCCGCGCTTCGCGCGAGAGGGGAAAAAATAAATTCAGACGAGAATTATTTTCGAGAACTGTACAACGAATTGTATTGTTTCTCTAATGATTTAATGAAACGTAAAAGCTTCCGCGCTTCCCGCGAGAGGGGGGGGGGGAGAATCTAAATTCAGACGAGGATTATTTTCGAAAACGGTACAACGAATCGTCTTTTTTCTCTAATGATTTAAGGAAACTTAAAAGCTTCCGCGTTTCGCGCGGTAGGGAGGGGGGGAACCTGAATTCAGACGAGAATTTAGAGTCGAGAACTCTACAACGAATCGTCTTCTTTCTCTAATAATTTAATAAATCCTAAAATTTTCCGCGCTTCGCGCGAGAGGGGAAAAACTAAATTCAGACGAGAATAATTTTCGAGAACTGTACAACGAATTGTTTTGTTTGTCTAATGATTTAATGAAACGTAAAAGCTTCCGCGCTTCGCGCGAGAGGGGGGGGGGGAGAATCTAAATTCAGACGAGGATTATTTTCGAAAACGGTACAACGAATCGCCTTTTTTCTCTAATGATTTAAGGAAACTTAAAAGCTTCCGCGCTTCGCACGGTAGGGAGGGGGGGAACCTGAATTCAGACGAGAATTTAGAGTCGAGAACTCTACAACGAATCGTCTTCTTTCTCTAAAAATTTAATAAATCCTAAAATTTTCCGCGCTTCGCGCGAGAGGGGAAAAACTAAATTCAGACGAGAATCATTTTCGAGAACTGTACAACGAATTGTTTTGTTTGTCTAATGATTTAATGAAACGTAAAAGCTTCCGCGCTTCGCGCGAGAGGGGGGGGAGAATCTAAATTCAGACGAGGATTATTTTCGAAAACGGTACAACGAATCGCCTTTTTTCTCTAATGATTTAAGGAAACTTAAAAGCTTCCGCGCTTCGCACGGTAGGGAGGGGGGGGGGAACCTGAATTCAGACGAGAATTTAGAGTCGAGAACTCTACAAC